TCAAGTCTCTGAATTTTTCTTCTGCCTTCCAACACACCTCTTATCAAAACCAGTGTGAATGTCCCCCTAGTTTAACTGTTAAAAAGTTATAAACTAATAAAATGTCCATTAACTTTTTTAAAAAAATCTGCACAACAGGTGACAGGCTGAATGGTGTCCCCCTCAATTCCTCTGCTGAATTCCTCAGAATGTAACTATATTTGGAGATAAGGTCTTTAAAGAGGTGATTACATTAAAATGCGGTCACCAGGGTGGGTCCTCATCTAATCTGACCAGTGTCTTTATAAAAAGAGGAAATGTGCATAAAGAGGAGAAACCCTAGGTGTTCTGCATGCAGAGGAGAGACACACTAAGAAGGGGGACAACTGGAAGCCTAGGAGAGAGACCTCTGAAGAAGCAAGGTTGCTGACACATTGGTCATAGACTTACAGCCTCCAAAACTGTGAGAAAATAAATTTCTGTTGTTTAAACCACGCAGTCTGATTATCTTATGGCAGCTCTAGCAAACTAACACAAGGTCAACCCTATTCTACGCATGACACCATGCAGCCCCTTGGGGCTCACCAAGGAACCTTCACCATCACAGAAAGGGCACCAGAAGACACAAATACCCATAACTGAAGCCAGAATTGGTCAAAAAGGAAAATCTGAGCAGATTGCCCTGGAAGCAGCAAGGATGTTATAATTCTTTCCATCTGGGAAATTGGAGAAGGCTGGAAAGAGGAGAAGGCATCTAAGTTGGACCTAAAGGATGAGCAAAATTACAGTTATGGGCAGGAGAGGTGGAACAGGAGGCAATCCAGGGGAAGAGACACTATGAACATGAACCTACTACACTCATAACTCTGTGACAAGAACCTCTGTTGTCATCCATCTATAGACAAGATTGGTGGTTTGCAAAGCTAACTTAACATTAGGACAAACTAAGTTTTAAAGAAATAACACAGATCCTCAGGCCCCACTCCCAACCTGCTAAATCAGGATCACCAGGGTTAATGTCCCAGAATGTTTAATTCAAGCAATTTGTTGGGTGAGATAGTATCAACTTCATCAGCTTAAAGATCACTTTTTAGTATAAACATTTTGTTGGTTCCCACATGATGACAGTTCAATATCTATTGAATGAGAAAATGAATAAAAACAGAAAATCTATCATGAGTTTAGTAATGATTTCAAGCAAATCTGTATTAATTAGAACCAAATCTACAAGTTTAAAAGTGAGACATGGTCCTGGCATGCTGGGTCACACCTGTAATTTCAGTGACTCAGGAAGCTGAAGCAGGAGGATGACAAGTTCAAAGACAGTCTGAGCAACTGAATGAGAACCTATCTCAAAAATAAAAAATTTAAAAAGGGGATCAGAAAATGTAGCTCAGTAGTAGAGTGCCTCTGGGTTCAATCCCCAGTACTACATACAAAGAAAAGTGATATGCATACACATATATGTGTATTGTGTGTATGTACACACACAATACACACACACACACACACACACACACAAATAGTATTTATCCAACTTGCAGATAGTGCCAGGTTGCTTTCAGGAATTCTGCCTGTATTAATCACATGTTCACAAGCTCTCTTTCTCTTTCTCTTCCCTTGTCCCTATGCCTCTCCCTCTAAGAAGGCAGACACTTTTTTCATTGTTATTAGTTTGAGGTGTTTTGTTTTGTTTTCCTCATTTTTCAGAACTCTCTGAAACTCAAGAGTCCTCTTTACTAATGTGATGGAATAACCCTTACTTGTTAAGGATTAAGCCAGATGATTTAGGTAAAGTACAAAGCACAGCCTTAGATTCCACCCTACCCCCCCCCCACCTCCACCACACAAGTAAGAGCTCTGGTTATACATTTTTTGAAGCTAGGGCCTTCAGTCAGCCTTTTCTCAGCACGGGTTTTAGCTAAAGCTCACCTCTAAAAGCTCCATTTCAGTCAAAAGTTCATACCAGTGGGGACCTTCCTCCATTACTGAGCAGTCAATGATCCCTGAGTACATCGTCTTCCCAAACCCATAACAATTTTGTCCAAGTGAATGACAGGACACAATACACACAGTGACTAATAGCTATCCTCCTTTTCTACTGGATTTTTCCACTTCCAACGTTGAGAATAACATTCAGAAATTCTTCCCCAACCTTTCATTTGTGTTCCCTTGGTATCTCTATGATATTTCATTCATTCATTCACTCACCCATTACCAGGGAAAGCCTAATCCATGCCAAGACTTGTTTCAGACACAGAACAAATAAGCTGGGTGTCTGCTCTCCTGCAGCTGCCATTCCAGTGGGGAAGGGAGTAAATGATCAATTTACTGTGCAGCATGGCAGGTGGAATCAAGTCATAAGAAGAAAAATAAAGCAGAGTCAGGAAACAAAGAGGGATATTGCTATTTGGGTAAGTCAGTGAGGGAGACCCAACTGAGGTAGAATTTGAGCAGAGACTTGAAAAAATGAGAACATGGGCCAGCAGGCATCTGAGAGGGGAATTCTATGTTGTTTTCTCCTTTAGCTTCAAGGACATTGCTTTACCTCATTTCTTCACTACTGTTATGGATTGAACTCTGCCCCCTAAAAAGACATATTGTATTCCTAATCCCTAGTATCTTGGAATTGTGATCTGATTTGACAGGATCTTTACAGAAGTGATCAAGTTGAAATGAAATCATTAGGATAGGCCCTAAGCCAATACAACCAACATGCATAGGAGGAAAATGCCATGTGAAGATGAAGGCAGAGATCGGAATGACACATTTACAAAATAAAACATCAAAGACTCCCAGGAAACTAAAGTTAGAAGAGAGAGTCATAGGATAGATTTACCACTTTGGCCCTCAGAACCAACCCTGCTAATACCTTGATCTGCCATTTCTGTTTAAGCATGGCATTCTGTTATGCCAGTCTTAGGAAACTAATATACCCATTGAGCATTGGAAGGATCAGAGAAAGTCCACTGCTTTATTCAGATTCACAGACTAAACCCCTGGTTACATGGGCTTCCTATACCCCTAATTACTACAAATACCCCCTAATTGGACTCCCTGTTTCCAGTCTTAACACCATTCTTCAACAATACTATCCCACAGCTTCACATACTTTCAAATGCCTCCAAGTCTCACAGACACAATCCAAATTTCTCAAGGTAGGGACGCAAAGCCTTTAGGAACCAGCCTCGGTGTACGTCTCCACTCTGCTGTGTCATCCTTGCCTTAATTTCTTGGCTAAGACTTTCTAATTCCTGTTCTGGTGGGGACAAACTTCTGTTCATCCTTGGGTTTCAACTTTGTCACCATTTCCTCTGGAAGCCTCCCAGGGCCCTCAAGATAGGGTTTGATGTCCCTCCTGTATGTACTAGGAAGCCCATGCATTCATGCTGTTGTGACATTTATCACAAGGGTCTTAGTCCGACTCTTCCTTGTGATCATGACCTCCTATCTTGTTTGTACACCCAGGTACTAAGAAAGTGTCAGAACTTGGGGAACATGCATTAGAGAAAGGAAAGTAAATGAAGAAAGCATGCCATATTCCAACCAACTGGTCCCAAAAGTGTTTTTCCCCTTTTAAGGGGAGGGGGATGGGCAGATAACCTTTTCAAGGATTTCCCAATAGTTTGTAGAACTACTGGAGCTGGACAGTGCTGTGCCTTTCCTTAATGGTTACAAGAGGAATTTAGATTAGACACTCAAAAGCTGTTCTTGTGTTGCAAGACACTGCAGAATAAAGAAAGGAAGTAAACAATCTGTCCAGCAATTTTTGAATCTGGCCCCCAGAACTTTTGCTGTTTAAGCATGGCATTCTATTATGTCAGTCTATTAGGAAACTAATACACCCATCCGGACTGACAAATAGGTGTCAGTCCATTATCTGGAGCTGCCCGATATTTTACATTCTATTTTTGATAGGAAGTGGCCCCTTCAGGTCTCTTCCAAGCCTCTGATTCTGTAATTGTATGTCCATGACCTACAGGTAAAGGTCGTGGGTGAACAGAATAGGGAATTGTTGCAACTAACAATGCAGTGTATTCTGTGTTTCTGTGAACAAAAAAATAATATTTTTTGTGATTTCAAAAGTATTTGCATACCTGGTTACAAATGCTGGAGAGCCTGAAAAAGGAAAGAGAGGAAAGCAGGGAGAAACAGCATTTGTGTGTGTGTGTGTGTGTGTGTGTGCGAATGTACAAACACACCCCCCCCCCCCCAAAAAAAAAAAAAAAAAAAAAAAAACAGGACCTAAAAAAGTCTTGTGAGTGAAAAAGGAGAAAAGTGGGGGCTGGCTCTTCGCGGCAGGAAGTCTTCAATGGCTATTGAGTCATAAGAAACAACTCTACACAGAAGTCCTTATTCAGAACGCTAAACTCGATTTTATCACATAAAGAGCAATATAAAGCTTGAAGTAGCCTCATCCTGGTATTGCGGACTTAACTTGACTTCTCCTTGTGAGAAAGCAAAAGATCTCCGACTGGGTAGTGTCTCAGACCTGTGTTAGGGGTTTTATTTGCAAGTCAATGAGCCAAATGCGCTACCAGGCTCGTTGTGCCGCGTTCTGCAAGCAAGGTTATTATTATCGCCTATTGCTCCACTGAACAATTTCACTGAAAGGAAGAGTCCCAGCAGTGTGTGTGCACACACCGTGCCATACGGGACGTGCCGCTACGTGCCCACCTCCAGAACGACTTTATTTACAAAGCGATTACCATGTTATCTATTTGTTTTCCTTTTCCAGCAACAGCAGCCTTACTCAGCCCTCGAATTTCTTAATTACAAACCCATTTGCCTCTAAATCAACCCCAAACCGTCAGGCAGAGCCCGGAGGGAGGCTGTGCAAGTTTGCACACACCCCCACCTCCCGGATCAAGGGCAACAGCAGAAGCAAGTAACTGTGTATGTGCAAAAAGGTGGATCTGGGGACGAGGATCGCTGAGTTTGTTTACAGAGCTGAGACGCCTCAGCTCGGATGCCAAAGCTACCAAGAGCTGCAAACGCAAACTTAGCAGAAGCACACGTACCCCGAGAGCGCCGAGCGAATCCAAAAGTGCGGACAGGATCCCTGAGCGCGGGAGTGGAGGCAGCAGGGCCTGCGAGCGCGCTGGGTTCACCTGCAGCAGCTGCATCTCCCCGCCCCCCCGCCCCCGCCCCAGTTCCTGTCCTTGAAAGTGGGGGGGCATGCATCTACTTGCAGAATATATCTAGATTAGGTTTATCTGCTGCCCCCTATAAAAACACAAAAGCACGGCTCAGGAAAGCGCTCTCAGGAGGAGGGCATTATTTGTCCGGAGATTTAAAAACACAACTCGGGGAAGCACAACCACTCTTGGCAGCTTGGAGAGGTTTTTGCAGCAACGAAGAGGCAAAAAGGCACTCTGGAGGGCGGGGACGCTGAGGAAAAAAACCCTTTCCTGTAGAGGGCAGGCCATATCACTAGGTGAGTCGGGACCCGGGGTTGGGAAGATCCGGTCAAAGGTAGACGGTGAGTTTTCCTCACTCCTCTCCGGGTAGGCGCTACCATCGGGCTGGGAGGCCGGGAAAAAGTATCCCGCTGCCCCAGAGGTGACAGACCTAGCCCTAGCGCTTTGGGGGCAAGAAGGAAACCAGAATCGGGGAACAACGGGGCGGTGCCTGGGCGCGCAGCCTCTGCGCACGTGCCGCTGGCGCCGGGGACGCGGCTCCCCGACCGGATCCAGTGTGCCCTAAATTCCGGAATCCATGTGTTTGCGCCGCCCGCCGGGGAGGCTTTCGCTCCGCCCTTCTGAAATCCCTTATATTAACTGTGACCAAAGCCCTAAGAAACACAGCTCATTGTTGGCAGCTGCCGGGCGGTCCTGCCGAGCTGTGAGGGCAACGGAGGGGAAATAAAAGGGAACGGCTCCGAATCTGCCCCAGCCACCGCTGTGAGACCTCGGCGCCGACATCGCGACAGCGAGCACCCGGCACTCCAGGAAATCCCCCTCTATGTGCTGCTGAGCTGGTCCTGGACCCGACGATCCCGCCCTCGGTCTTCGGAGCTGAAATCGCAAAGACGGAAGGTAAGCGCGGCGGGCGAAGCTGGCTGGGGCTCCTGCCAGCCCAGTCCTCCGAGGGCAGCGTTTGCCCGGAGGAAGAGCGTGAGGCGGAGCTGGGGAATAACAACAGGATGTGCAACAACAGGATGAGGAGGGCTGATTTAATGCCTGAAGTTCGCGGCAGGGCTACGGGGCACTTCCTTTATGAGGCCACTTCAGGGAACACAGGGGGGTGTGGGCTCGGGCACCCCCCCACCACTCCGATTGCAGGGGAAGGGGCTGTTTGTGCAGCACCTAGGTGTGTGGTGGGTGGCAGGTCCGCCGAGGTGGCGAGCTCGGGTGCACAGAGTACTAGTGGGATCCTGAGGGGTGGTTCGCAGCTGACGTGCGCTGGGGGAGCCTGGGAAGCAGAGGCAAGATAAGGGGTGCTCTTTGGTGGGCAACACGTGTGGCGCTGGTCTTACCGTCTGCCTTTTTCACTTTCAGGACTAGAGATGGCAGACCATATGATGGCCATGAACCACGGGCGCTTCCCCGACGGCACCAACGGGCTGCACCACCACCCTGCCCACCGCATGGGCATGGGGCAGTTCCCGAGTCCCCATCACCATCAGCAGCAGCAGCCCCAACACGCCTTCAACGCCCTGATGGGCGACCACATACACTACGGCGCGGGCAACATGAATGCCACGAGCGGCATCAGGCACGCGATGGGGCCCGGGACTGTGAATGGAGGGCACCCTCCGAGTGCACTGGCCCCCGCGGCCAGGTTTAACAACTCCCAGTTCATGGGCCCCCCGGTGGCCAGCCAGGGAGGCTCCCTGCCTGCCAGCATGCAGCTGCAGAAGCTCAACAACCAGTATTTCAACCATCACCCCTATCCCCACAACCACTACATGCCGGATTTGCACCCTGCTGCAGGCCACCAGATGAACGGGACAAACCAGCACTTCCGAGATTGCAACCCCAAGCACAGCGGCGGCAGCAGCACCCCAGGCGGCTCGGGCGGCAGCAGCACCCCTGGCGGCTCCGGAGGCACCTCGGGCGGCGGCGCGGGCAGCAGCAGCAGCAGCAGCGGCGGCAGCGGAGGCAGTGGCAGCAACATGCCCGCCTCCGTGGCCCACGTCCCTGCTGCAATGCTGCCGCCCAATGTCATAGACACTGATTTCATCGACGAGGAAGTGCTTATGTCCTTAGTGATAGAAATGGGCTTGGACCGCATCAAGGAGCTGCCTGAACTCTGGCTGGGGCAAAACGAGTTTGATTTTATGACGGACTTCGTGTGTAAACAGCAGCCCAGCAGAGTAAGCTGTTGATCGAAACCCGGGCGAAAGAAATCAAACCCCCAACTTCGGTGTGAATTAAAAACATTCCCTTAGACACAGTATCTCACTTTTCAAATCCTGAAAGGTTTGAGAACTTGGAAACAAAGTAAACTATAAACTTGTACAAATTGGTTTAAAAAAAAAATGCTGCCACTTTTTTTTTTTCCTGTTTTTGTTTCGTTTTTGTAGCCTTGACATTCACCTTCCTTATGTAGTTGAAATATCTAGCTAACTTGGTCCTTTTCGTTGTTTGTTTTTTACTCCTTATTTCCTCACTTTCTCCAGTGCTCAACTGTTAGATATTAATCTTGGCAAACTGCTTAATCTTGTGGATTTTGTAGATGGTTTCAAATGACTGAACTGCATTCAGATTTAGGAGTGAAAGGAAAAAAATTGCATTAGTTGGTTGCATGAACTTTGAAGGGCAGATATTACTGCACAAACTCTGCCATCTCGCTTCATTTTTTAAACTATGCATATGAGTACAGACTAATTTTTAAAATATGCTAAACTGGAAGATTAAAACAGATGTGGGCCAAACCGTTCTGGATCAGGAAAAGTCATACTGTTCACTTTCAAGTTGGCTGTCCCCCCTCCCCCATATGTACAGACAATAATAGGGTGTGGAATGTCGTCAGTGGCAAACATTTCACAGATTTTTATTTTGTTTCTGTCTTCAACATTTTTGACACTGTGCTAATAGTTATATTCAGTACATGAAAAGATACTACTGTGTTGAAAGCTTTTTAGGAAATTTTGACAGTATTTTTGTACAAAACATTTTTTTGAAAAAATACTTGTTAATTTATTCTATTTTAATTTGCCAATGTCAATAAAAAGTTAAGAAATACTTGTTTTCTAGAAGTCATTTGGGGTGGTTTGTTCCCTTTGGTACCCCCACCCCTTGTCTGTAAGGTGAACACTATTGATGAGAGTAAGCATTCCAAAGGATAAATTACAGGACACTAAAACAGGTCATGATGAGCTTAAGCGGAGAGCAGGATTTAACATAATTGGCATAATGCTTCATTGTTATTGTAACATGCCTCTTGGTGTGGTTTAATCAAAAGCTGCAAACTTGTCAAAGTGCTTTTTTCCCCCTTAATTGCCATCATATTTGAGTGTAGAGTTAGAAAGGCTTGCAATGCTAAACATAAATATCTCATGGGGTGGGGGGATCAAGTGTTTCTGGTTATACCTGATTCAACTACTTAAATGGAGATAGACTGGAATAATACACTGAGTGATTGATGGGGTTGGCATTAAATATAAATCTACCTTTATCTCTAGTGTCGAATTTTATTTCTCAGCGAAAAGTACTAAGGATAGGCACACATTTCTAGCTTAATCTCTGAAATAGCTTCTGACTGGTTTATAGTTCTGGGAAGAAGAGGGGGCGGAATTCCACCTTGAGGCTTGCTATTTTGTTCTCCTATAATATTTAAAATTTACTCAGCTAGGTTGATTCAAAGGTCAAATTACAATCTTCACAAGATGTTCCCTCTCAAGCATGCCCTGTTTTCCAGAATTCTGAGCTTTGCTTTTGCATGCATTGAGAACAACATACATAGGATAAGATCATTTTAACTTTGACTAGATGAGTACCAAGGAGATTATAACTACAATTAAATGGGTGTCAAGTTTTAGCCTCATAAAATCAAGCAAAAGGAAAAGTATTGTTAAGATCTTAGATTATCCCAAGTAGAATGAGAAGGAATTTTGTTTTCCCTTTCATGTTACCATGGTTTATCCTATGTTTATAAGAGCAACACACCTACATTCTAGAAAAAAATAGACTTTTGTACTTATCCTACTGGGGGAGTAGAAATGTAGGTTGAAAAAAAATCTTACAAATAATGCTTTCAACGGGCATTTCATTTAGACTTTTGGATTCTCATCTTAAATCCCACATAATAAATCAGGAAAAGTGGACATATAGAGATGTGACATTAAAATCTGGCATAAAGATCAGTGTAATTCACTTCACCTACATTCTACATACTACCATTTTCAAGGCAGGACATGTAAAACTAAGATACAAATTCCACTGGACTTTTTATACCTCTCTAATTGATACTTTCTTATTAAAAATTATGTACAGAATAATTTCTCTGAAAATACACTGTATCATCCAAAACTTTCACTCCATCTTAAAAGACCAATCCAGATTTCCACCTTAATAGTTAAAACCTAAGTTTTCTTCAGCTAAGATATGTCAATACTAAAGCTGCAATCAGCAATAAATCTTCCTGGCTAAGCATTTTCACAGTAAGTTTTTCTTTTCCATTTTCTTCTTCTTTCTTTCTTTCTTTTTTCCCCAGAAGCTCAAGTGAAATAATGTTTGCATACATATTAATACAGCAATTGTAGTTTTTTTTTCACTTGTAGCAGGAAAAAAAAGAAAGAAAGCTATTGGAGACTTTTTTTTTTTTGCATAAAGAAAGAAGTAAAAGAATTGTCTTGCCACTACCCTTCACCATTTATTCTGCCAGGGAATAAGCCTCAGCACCTGCTCTGTCACTAAATTCTTCCTGCTGCTCAAACGCAGGAACACGTATGTAGAGATGCAGAAACTAAGGAACTATTATTAGATCTTGGGCCCATCCCTGCCAGAATAGAGGACTCAAACAGAGGAGCTGGCTAAAAGCACAATTTATCCTCAGTACAAATACAAACCCCACCCTACCCCACCCCACTCCCCCACTCTCCCACTCCACCCCACCCCCATTTACTTCAACCATCCTTGTTTCCTTAAAACTTTCTTGATCAACAATAGAGCAGATTCTATGTGATATTTGCAGGTCTCTTAAGCAGAGAAAAATAAGCCCTTGTTTGAACAATCTGATTAATGAAACCTGTACAGTGACCTAGATCACCCAGCTACTGGCAGACATTTGCAAAACCTTCTGTGGTCTTGCTTCCTACTAAGTTGCTTATAGTGTATGGGGAAATTTGACCTCTGTACCTTGGCTGTTTGTCAAAAGGTTCTAATATGGTACAAGAGAGCTTCTGTTCTTTAAGCTTTGTCCACAAATAGACACTCCATGCTTGATTTTCAAGAGGAGATCAATGATAAGCAACAGCACAACCTCATAGACACATGTCAGAAAAATAAGTCTCCATTAATAAAAACATGCACCTCTACCATGTGGATGATAACATTCTGGTAGCAGCATCTTCACTGGAGCTGATAAAGACATTAAAGCTGTGGATGGGTCTTTGAAGAACAGTTACCTAATCGCCACTGTTTATGGGGTGCTGGGCTACAGCACTAGCTCCAGAAGGCTGACATCTATTGTGAAGTTTACAGTCTCCGTGACTTTTACTACTGTAAACGCCTGGGATGGCTATAAATTGATGTCAACATTAAAGGCCAGATCTTTTAGAGAAAAATATTAATCCACTAATCTATTATGGGTGGCCGGCTTTGAAATACAAACTTTGCAGCCCTGGACCATTAGGTGTTTTCGCCCCCTTGTGGAATTTATTTAGAAGGTCAAAAGAAAGCTGTTTTCCTCAAGAGGTTTTTTTGGTTTTTGTTTTTGGGTTTTTTTTTGTTTTGTTTTGTTTTGTTTTTGTCATTGCTGAAGACTTTGCTCTTTTTTCTTGAGGCAAATAGCACATATTTGTGCAACAAACTTTTTTCCAAAGAAGATTCCAGAATAAATGCCCTTTATGAAAATGAGTATTTTAGTTCCTAAAGACCTTAACCTGTTATTAAGTGTGCATAATTAGAATTTGCCTCATATTTGAAAATATGCATTGGGTAAGGGATTTTCTCTTTGAAAGTGTAAGGAGTAGTGGTTTGGGCTAATGCTCTAGCTTCTCAACTATGTAGGGGAGAAACACCTGCACCCCCACAACAGGACCATTGATTGGTATTAAGTGTGAATAGCATTGCATTTGAGGGTATGAGGTTAGAAAGGTAGAGGGAAATATCCAGGAATGCAGAATGCAATTATCCTCCTTGGAATGTGACCAAGCTACTGGCTCTAATCTTGTGAAAAGAGCCACAAAATCTTTAATGAGAATAAATGTTGCTGCCTAATTGAATCGGTAAAATTTACTTTAACATAAACCTGGCAGATAACATTGTCTCCAAAAGAATAAATAAATTTAGAATTCAAGGAATTCAGGACCCAAGTCATTGGCAAATTTTCCCTTTCCAATGGCATTTCTTTGTTAGCATAGAAGAAGTGTCACATGGGGCTTCAGAGATGGTATTTATCATTTTGGTACTGTACCACTATCATCAAAATCAGAGTTCCTGAGCAGGTTGAGGCTGATCCTCAGCAAGGAACAATAGGTAGAAAATCAAATGACTCAGCCAATGAACCCCTATTATCATGTGTGCTGTTTGTCTTTTCCCCCCAGAATAGAAGGAACAATGGCAATGTCAGAATTTTAATTGCAATGGACTGGCTTAAATTACTTGACCTATTTTTATGCAGCAAGGAGAGAAATTATTCTTTTTTTCCTGGTGGCTGTGCTTACAATTTAAACTGCAAAAGGAAATATAAGAACATTTCCTATCATAAGGATACTCTTGATAAGCAATTTTAGTTTGCCTTGTAGTACATAAGACTCTCCCATATTTTTGAAAAAGTATTAAGACACCTGAAATAGAGAAATTTTTTCTTCACAGGAGAAACTCATAAATAATTCTAAATAATGACTATTAAATATTCTAAGAGCTGCAGGTGTGGATTTCTATCATATTTTACCATTTATAAACACAATAAAAGCAAAGTAAAGAAAAATCAGTCTGTGTTGAGGAATTAAATCCATGATCCCTGGGAAAGGGGGAATAGCAGACCAAGTTCCTTCCATACTTTCTATGAACAAATAAATGATGGCATTTTGGCAGTGAAATTCTTATCAGCTACTTTTTCCCCCAAGATGAGTACTAATGTTAGAAGTAGCCCCAGGAGACAGTTGGTGGTACTTTCTGAGAATTTTGCTTGGCTAAACTAGGACCTGCAGAGCGATCTTAAAGCAGATGAAAGATAGACGATGAGTATTATTACTTTCTTTATATGGTGTTGATTTTCATTAGGCTGAACTAATCTGCAAGATTAGTGAGGCAGGGACACAATGTGGGGTGAGCACTGTGGTTCACAGGATTCTTGGAATTTTCCCATGGCGTCGCCATTGTGCTAAGCCCTGAAATTCTTCCCTTTCTTCACTCTACAGTAGAGTGGTTACTTGATTACATTTGGGGTTGCTGAACAAAGCCCACACGGGATCTGTCTCCTAAGGGGCCTGCAACAAGGCAAGGTTAGTGTGGTGTGCTTTGCAGGAGATATGCAAATAGGCAAGTGGCTTTTGAAAAGTTAACAGTGCTAAAAGAACCCTGCCAGTCCATTATTGAAAGCTGGGTAGGAGGCAAAATGTAGGCTTAAGTAAAAGTCAAACTAGCATAAAATCAGAAAAAGTCAGCCAACTCCAGGTTGTTGATATTGCTTTAAGAACATCTGAAGAGGCCAGCGTGCCAAAGTAACAGAAATGTGATTGGCGGCCACTGAAGTCTTTTCTCTTTGTATTTGTGTCACCCTATGAACCAACATGAAATTTGGCCTTCTGATCTCTTTAATTCACTTGGCCACAGAGCTTTTTAAAATTTTTCTAGTAACCCACTGTTTGGGGGTTTGATTTGGTGGTTTTTTTACTCCATGATAATTGTTATCTCCATGCTAACAAACACATAGGATTAAATTATGCAGGCAAATCCTTAGGTCATCTTGCAAATATTGCCTTGTTATATTTATTTTGGAGAACTCTTTGATGGAGTATAAGCAAGATGACAGCTATTCCATATTTCTCTCTTTATCTGATGTGTTGAGCAAATATATGGATGGAGAGCCCAGT